GTAAAAGAGCACAATAGACATCGATGACTTTTATACATGGATTTGTACAATCAATTTTATACATTGATATCTGAAGTTTATCAATTCTTGACTCTAAACTCTCTGAATTGTTCTCTAAACTCAAGACTTTGTGTAGATTGCTTGTTAATCTCCTTTAAAGCAAAAAGATTTCTTATGAAAGACTCCTTTCAGAGTGTGCTGAAAACACATACTTCAATGATAACCTTGAGATGTAACATAAACTAAAGCACATGACGCACCAGTGCGGCGCTATACTGAATATCCACAACACATTGAGAATATCACACTGGTTTTGATGTGATGACTTGTGTTGTGACTCACAGTGAGAGAAATATAAGTTCCCTTTCATGGGAACTTCGAACTGCGTCCTCTAGGGGTCACTATGGGAAACCTAGAGGACGCAGTGTCTTGTTCCCATGAAAGGGAACTTATATTTCTCTCACTGTGAGTCACAACACAAGTCATCACATCAAAACCAGTGTGATATTCTCAATGTGTTGTGGATATTCAGTATAGCGCCGCACTGGTGCGTCATGTGCTTTAGTTTATGTTACATCTCAAGGTTATCATTGAAGTATGTGTTTTCAGCACACTCTGAAAGGAGTCTTTCATAAGAAATCTTTTTGCTTTAAAGGAGATTAACAAGCACGTTCCCTTTCATGGGTACTTCGAACTGCGTCCTCTAGTTTTCCCATAGTGACCCCTAGAGGACGCAGTGTCTCGTTCCCTACTCAGGGAACCATATAAGTAACCTGAGACAGTTTTAAACGTCAGTAGAAAATGATTCATTTCTGTGAATCAGTTCAAACGGTCAATTTTAATGAATCAATTCAAAAAGTGATTTATTTCCATCATAACTCATCATAACCCTGCATTTTTCATGCATTATATAGTATGTTTTATTAAAACTATTTTTTGATAAATATTGCATATTGTTCATTACTAAGAATTGTTAAAATGCTGCATATAAATACAATTATTAAATGTCTTTCTTGGGTTTTTGTTTCAAGCAACTGACTGTGGAATCATTCATAAAATCACACTTTTAAAGTAATTTGCAATTACATACTCAATTAAAAGGTGAAAAACACTGAGGTATATTCTTTATACCTTGATATTTTCTAACTGTGCTTACCCAGCACTTGTTGGCCCCAGACCTGTTTACGGTGACCAATAAACTAGCTCTGATAACCTCTGGCCTCAAGTCAAGCACACCTGACAGCCAGAACAAAAGCGATATTTAACAAGACCTGGCCTACACCTAGACAAATTCCAGAAAATCAGGAATGTTTGGGTGCTGTTTGCCTCAACCCACTAAAGCAATTTAAACATAATTTTTCAAAACAATCATACACACATGGCTTCTGATAAATAACAACTGTTTTGTCACCATGGTTTCATATGCAATTAAATGTTGACAAAACTGCAGTATGCACTGTAGAAAATAAACAAGATAATAAAGATAAGAACTTATTTATCAAGCTTACTGCCTCCAGAAAGCAAAAATCACAGAATCAAGAATGAGCCTACATCATATGACTGCAGCAGCCTCACACACACACACTCTAAAAAATGCTGGGTTAAATACAGCCCAGTGCTGGGTAAAATAGGGACAAACCCAGCAATTGGGTTGTTTTGACCCAGTGGTTGGGTTACTACCCAGAAGGTTGGGTTAAACATTTAATCCAACCGCTGGGCCAAAACAGCCCAATTGCTGGGTTTGTCCCTATTTTACCCAGCACTGGGCTGTATTCAACCCAGCATTTTTAAGAGTGCACTGTTGAGCTTTTCCACAGCTGACTGTTAGACACTCTGCTGCTCTGCTTGAGCTACAAATGACCAAAAACAACACATCAGCTTCATCTGAATGCTCAACATTCAGTCAGTGGGGGGGGGGGATATTTCTGTGCACAAGTGCATTTGTACACTCTAAAAATGCTGGGTTAAATGCAACCCAGTGCTGGGTAAAATAGGGACAAACCCAGCAATTGGG